AAAAAAAACAAGTAGCACATGTTTTTGATCATTTCCTTGTCATGCTTTTGTAAAGTGGACATGCATTTCATTCTTCCAAATTATAGTAAATTACAGCTCTAAATTAGAAATGCACACAAACTTGACCTTAAATCATCCAATTAGGCAACTAATTAATCATTCTGTGTCCTCAAATCAGACAGCATCTTTTGTAGTACTAATAGCTAATTAACTTTCCCCTTTTGCAGTACCTAGCAACTTCATGGGTTTGTTTTATAACTGTAAATGTTTCAGTACATTAAATTATTAGGAGAACACTCTGAACTTATTTTTTCTCTTAAGCCTAATGTTCAAAATATTACAGCCAACTGTAAATAAATTAGTCTGTAAAATGTCAAACAAAGTTGCCAAATATTTACTCAGGTTTTATCAATTAAATAATGTAACACTGTGTTCCACTGAAATACTGCTGAAAAATTAGACTGAACATATTTAATGAATTCTTAGTATAGTTATTTTTTAAAAATAAAATATATGGCAATATTTATGGCGATTGATTTTGCACTTTTAAAATTTTCAAATTATGTTAATTTAAATGTTGCTTCCAACCTCTTCTCAATCACAGAATCATGAATTTACATAAGCATAATGGAAATACATAATATATTTGCATGTTTCTGAACAAGTACATGTATTAGAGTCCTTTCTAAATAAGCAATATAGAAATATCCCTTAGAGGATACGAACTAATCATAGATTAAAGAATTAATTTCTTGGTCATATTTTCAGACAGTCCACTAATATAGACCCTGATTTTTTTTCATGGCTATGTTGATAGTATTTGGTACTCTGTGCAAAAACTTAGTGAAAAAACCAAACCCCTGAAATAAGAGGTAACTTCTGAAAATACTAACATTTAACTTACGCATTAGAACTTTTGTTCCTTTATTTCTTCCCTGGAAGAGGAGGGGTGTAAAAGGTTGCTCTTCAGTACCCATTTTAAAGTTCTCAATGTGTGTTGGTTTCCTGAAGGGAGCACCTGGGGGTTACCATGTTCCTGCGTAAAAAACAGCTTTGCATATATACTTACTAAATGGCTGTGGGCCTGATTATGCTTTCAGAGAAGTTTCTAGAAGCTCTGCCTTTGCTTTCTCTGGAGGCCTTACATGTTTCCTAACCACTGACAATCATGTGCCCACAGGATGGCAAATGGGCAGAAGTGATATGGTATTAGGGATATTGTAAAAGGAGATAATTGCTTTTGTACTTTTCTATCTGCTTTCCAGCTGGGGAGGTCCTGTGCATCCCAGAGGAAACTACAAACAGCCCCATTGATTGCTGTATTCGTTTGCAATCCTTAAACAGGGGTACTTTTCATATTAACATATGCAAATACACACACCAGTCACTGACACCAGCTTCACCACCACTGCCCTTATCTACAGTGCTGCATGTACCTCTGTACCTCATTCTTCCAAAGAAGGAGGAGAACTGATTCCTAGGAGACAATTTTCAAAAGTTTTAACTGTTTTTATAAGTAAAATATACTTGAAGTCAGTTGAAGGAAAAGGGATGTTTTTACTTGCAGGTTGCTTTGCTAAATATAGGCATGTGACTTATCTCAGCCTTCTCAGTGTTTCCTCCATTCAAATGACTTAGGGTTTAGGATACTCAGAGGAACTCACTCAAAATTTCCAAACCAGCTTTGTAGCGGTGGATAATTATGAAATGGTGAAGTAAGAAATTGTGACCGGAATATATATGAGAAGGTTTATATTGTCCTTCAACTAATTTCTAAAACAGCTGTTTTCTCTTCCTCTTCTGGAAGGCTTCTCTTACACAGAGGCATAAAGGTTGGTTCAAATTAGAGTAGTCACAGAATCCATTTATAAAATGGGTCACAATTTTTGTATGTAAAATAGACAAGAAATTGGATAAGAAATAGCTTTGTGTCTTTTTTGCTTTTTAAATAAGGAAAAATTAGTCTCTTTTAACCATCTGAATTGACATGCACTCTAAGTGAGGTAGGCCTAAGTGTTTCAGAACTATAAACTAAGCATATTGTTCAGTGTAGAGGCTCCTTTGAAAGATTATAACCATGAAAATATATTGAATATTACACAAAAATATATTAACAGTGTTTCTAGTCCTGTATTTGATGAAAAGACTATGAAAATGAGGGCAGTAAAAACTTCTAACTTTCTCCTTACATTCATTATATATGACTTGTGGGGGTTTTAACTTTCCAAAAACATCATCCTGTGCAAGGCAAATGTTTCAGAATTCTGAAACATTAATTTGTTTTGCCTTGGTATTGTCATTGCTTTTTGGAAGAAGCAGAAGATCAAATTGCTACAGTTCTTCAAACAGATTAATGAAGGGAGCTGCATTTGCCATAATCAAGAGAGATTAAATAACAGAGAAATGCACTAACATACCATGGATGAAGCTTGTCATCTGTGATCTGCAAAATCCAGTATGATACAGAAAAGAGTCTGAGGATTTATAGAGTACATTTTCTATTTTGATTGGAGTGAAAAAGAAAAATGCATAACTATAATACAAATATCAGACTCTGCTCCCATCAAACAGCAAAATTTATCTTGAATTCATGGGAGGTTAACATTTATCCCAAACCCAGACTATACAACTAGGCAATCCATGGCCTATATCTTGCTATCAATGGCCATCCTCAAACTAAAATTCATATTGGAGGCTAAAATTATGCTGCTCGCTTCTGGAGTATTCGAGAATTTGGTCACAAAAGAGCGAAACTGTTTCTCAGCCAGGGTATGCCACTGAAATCGAGAATGCACAGACCATGGCGTGTTTGTTTCAGCACTTACACTATTTTAGGCTATTCATAAGGAAACTGTCAAGACAGAACATTTATTTTATAAACTCACATTTTCACCTTTAGTGTCTTGAAGTAATTGTGCTGTTCACGTGCACGGGCAGACAGGCTGTAGCTCCTGCAAGAGATCATCAGAAGTAGTTATATCATCCAGAGTTCTTGAAGGTGCTGTCTCTTTCTGTCCTGTAAGTGCATCTACTTTCCTCTTGTTAGTGTTAAAATTGTAATAGCATGCAAATACTGTAGGTGCTTTGTAGACATTTAAAAAAATTCTTCCTCTCCCACTCAGTTTACAGGTTTAAAAAGTGTGAACATGGAAGAGGCAGGACACAAAGTGAGAGCCCCATTGTCCTCATCCTGGCTGAACACCTTTGGCTGTTCAGTCATATCATCCAACAATTTTCAATACCTCTAAGAGAATTTGGGCCATCCCGATTTAGCTGTTCTGTCAGCTGCTATATGAACATCTCCCACATGATGGTGCTGTCCGGTCTGTACAGCAGGCAGGCTGAACTGCATTTCGTTCTTGCCTTGGAACTGAGCCTTTCCTGCTCAACTGTTCTAATCATTTTTCTAGATACTGGGAAGAAGGAGAGTAAATGAAACAGGAGTAGCCTGCTATGCAGTATCGTCTCCAGTTGTGTGGTTGCTACATGTAATTATGCATACATCTTTCTGAGTTTGTCCTCCACAGACCTACACTGAAAAATAAACTGGAAATAGAAATGCTTTGTGCAGCTGAGTAATGATTTACACTTAAGGACATTGGGACAAACATTTGTAACAGGTAAATTTTCACCCACGCTTTTCCCACTGTAGCTCAGGTCCTTAGCTTTTGTAAGGGAAACCCCTCTCCTCATTTAACCTGGACAGATGAACTCTTTCCATCTATTAGATAAAAATACAGCTTATGATTTAAAATTATGAAACATACCTTTAGCTGCATATGAAAATATTACTATAATGATAAGCTACATAAAATCATGAACCAAATGTTCACTCATACAAGGTATATTCTATTGTCTATTTAAAATTATTGATGATATGTATCTTTCTCCAGAGAAATCTGGAAAAATGTCAGAAAATCTCGCATCCAGCAAAGGTCCAAAAACCTCAGCAAAGAAACAGAAAGGTGGAAACAAAGCTAAGGAATCCTCAAAAGGAAAAGGAAAACAGCTTGGTATGTAAAGTACAGCAATAATGGAACAAGCAGCAATCTGGTCTCCCACGAAAGCTACTTTAATTATTTTGGCCCCATGCATTAAAAAAAATTAGAATATGCTGGTTTTTATACGTAACCAAGAGAGCTACAATTACTGGTTATAATTTTGTAACCAACATAAAGAACATTACTGATAACACCATGTCATTATATTTCAGATGAAAAAGATGAAGCTGATCTTTCTATGGCCAGTATAGGTAAGTGCTATGATGACTGTGCTTTAAAGTAGTAGTTCTGGAATACTCAAGGCATTTTGAAGCTTCAGTGTTACTAATGCCAGGGAATAATAAGGAAAGTTTTGAGTTTTTTAAGAATGAGAAAAATTACAAACTATGAAGAAACACAGCTATTGCAGTAGTGATTATAGTGGCTCTCTGAGTAGGAAACAGATATGGGTTTGTAGAGGAGGTTTTTATCTTGAGTTGAGACGAGTTGGGATCACAAGAAAATTACAGGGTGCAAAATCTTTGCATTTAGTAATAGTTAAGCAATTGAAAGAAAAACATGAAATATGTTTATAATTTTTTAATCTTTGATCTTTGTCAAATCATTATTAAATTTGGTGAGAAGATGATTTTAATATATCACTTGTGGTTTTTTATCATAGGTGCCAATAGACATTGATTAGCATAATTTGTTTTGCAGGGGAAAAAATTCACCACTTAAAAGTCAGAAGATATCAAGCATTTGTTTTGACTTATGTGCAAGAAAAGTTCAGTTTTAAGCATAGCCATAGTTAAGAGCTAAAAATATGTAATTATTTGAACGTAAATATATTCTTTTTTTCTTAGACATCAAATTATTTTCAGTGGGTTTTTATTTTTCATATTTCTGGTTGGATTTTACTTCTGACCTAATTTGTGCAATTTTTCCTCAGATATAACTTAAATTGATGTCAATGTAAAATTTATCTATGGTTTACAGGAACAGCCCGAAGGGCTGTCTTATTAATTGGCCTGTACAGTACAGCTTTTATTGTTAAAAGCTAAAACAATGTGGCAAACAAGGAATACACAAACTAGTTAATTTTAAAAGAAATTGTAAATAACTTGTTTTCTTACATAATCCTCTGAACACATGGGTGGAAGTGAAAACTGCACTCTGATTAACATCACTGAAATGGCTAAGCTGCAGTTAATAAAAATGCACAAAAAGCGATCCCTCAGATGATTTATGTGTTCCTTTATAAAAATGTACTTTCAGTGTTCCAGGAGATACTTAGTCAGTAAGACAGAATTGTACCTCCACCTACTGGCAAATAAGGTTAGAGCTCTAATAGCTAAACTACTGCTAGAAACGTGTTGCTAAAGCAGGACAATAACACTAGTGTAAGCAGACAGTGTCTGTGCAGGATTTAAACTGCATGCATGGTATCTTCTTAGCATAAGACCTGTAAGTGTTCTTTGCTTCTCCTTAGAGTTTCTTGGTTCTTTGTGAAGTTCTCATAGCACTAAGAACTGCTGACTTACAAATTATACAAGTACAATTTACTATTAGAAAAACAATGTGAAGCCTATGATCAGATATTACACACCTTTTACTGGAAAGGAGTATTCAATAAAAATGTTTACAATAATAAGAATTCCAGTATCAGCTCCTTATATTACAGATTCTGTTAAAAATCATATTCTGTAATATAGATTTTTAGTTCCATGGACTAAAAGGTGTACCTATTTTATTTTTGTTCATTACTCTGTTTTTTAACTTGGACTTACAGCAATAGAGCACTGGAAAAAATAGACTATCTTTTAGTCTGTTTCCTCTTGTAGTGATGTCTGTTCTATTTTTGCTCAACTTTAATGCATTCTTGTATTGTTTCATTTGACACTGAAACCTACATCTCCTTAAAAATATTTTTTTTTAGCACTAGCATTTGTGCACAAGGCTGTATAGACAATTCAGCATTTAAAAAAAACTAACATCATACAAGCTTCTTGAATGAACAACCATTACTCCTGGTTAGGATTTTTGAGGTCTGGTATAAGCAACAGTGAGTTTGGACCAGATGACTTCAAGGTCTTTCCCAGTCAACATCCTTATGATTTTGTATTTTCTGGAAGCACCCACACAGAAATCCTGGAACTCTCCAAGATATCAAAAAGGAAAGACATGGAATATTGATTACAGCTTGTAAGGAAAGTGAACAAATGGACTGTGCATGCTACAAACAGATTGTATGTGCTACAAAATGACTAGTGAACACTAAGTAATCCATACTTGGCATAGTGTAGCCATGTACCAGAAACATCATGCATGTAATTAATTTTAGTGATGACCACAGCAGAGCAGATGCAGTGGAGTAGCAGCATTGAAAGATTTTAAAGGATAAATGTCAGATTCATCCAGCATTATGCATTATGCGATAGGATTGTGCAGAGATTTAGCTCCCCAAATAACAGAGATTAAGGAGGATTTATCATTTTGTCAGTCTTTGTTGGCTTAGGTTAGAGATGACTTCTCAAAACACGCTGACACAGCTGGTCATAATCATCATTTAGGTATATGAACTTCTCTTTAAGTCATACACAGAGGAAAAACACTAGAGGTGCTGGGAATTAAGAAAAACCCAAAAAATTCATACCAGGAAAATTATATTCATTAAGTATGAAACGTTGTGTATTTTAAAAGATTAATAAAATGTAACATAATTTGTATTCTGCCTTCCAAAATACTGAGAATGCAGCTGAGTGATTCAAAGGCATTCTGCTATAAACAGTAAAGACACAGACTTATCGAAGTATATGTGTGTGCTTAAACAACACTCTAAACTGTTTATCAAGCAACTTTGCTTTCTTTCATAGGCCACCCAGAAATCTTTCCTTTAGTTTTGACTACAAAGACCCAAGAAATTTTTAATTGCCGAGTTGATGAAGATGTCACAGAAGAAAATTGTTTCAAAATTATTAAAAAAGAAGATATCATTCAGGACCTGGAAACAAGAGCTAACATTTCTGATTTCTACCCTGTCAAAAAAGTTATCCTAGTATGTAGCTTATTTCATTCTCACTTTAAGACTTCATGCTCTCAGAGTGTATATTCTTCAAGGGAAAAGGTCTGCCCTTCTTTGACTCTGTGTAAATACACTAATGCTGTAACATCTGAATGCTATAGGTCATGGACCACTGTCAACTCAAAGTTTCTCATGGCTCTCCATGAACTTTTTTTTTTGCTGACTTTGATTGAAAATATGCTAAAAGTAACATAAATACTATTAGTTTTGATTCTGTGAACTGGCAGAGCTTCACATACTTGGCTTCCCCTAATTCATGGCCTATTTATTGAGAATCATTAAAACAGTTTCTTTTCTGTTTAATGCTCTGTATGAAAGATTAGATTTGTCCCAGACTTATTTTTATTACAAAATAAAATCCATCTGTTCTTTTCAATTAGCACATGAAATTCACTGTTAAGACCACAAAATTAACCTAAGATACTAAATTAACACTAGTGGTAGCTGTTCCAGTCACAGCGTCATGTTTGTTTTGAATGTTATTTGTTTTCAGTTTTCCACTAATTGTTTTAATTAAAATAGGACTATCCAGGGGAAGAACTTTTGGTAGTTTTTGATGCAAAGTTCCAGTACGGACAAAACTTTTACATTGTTGCTTCTGAGGAAGCCAAGGAAAACCTTGTAAAGGTAAAATCCAAGTATACCACAGCATTGTTCTATCTATGAATATTTCAGAATCTAGTCTCAAACATATACTTCAGGAATTATATTGTAATCATAAGCATCTGATGTTTCTCTAATGGGTAATCTGAGCATGGAAAAATATGTGTATCACTGTAAAAATATCTTTTATACTGAGAAGGGCTGAATTAAATTTTTGTATTTTACTTCAGACGGCCAGTATTACCCCCATTGCTACATTTTTATCTTAAGTATTAATTTTCTTTGCCAAGACTCAGATTTCTCAGACATAAAAATAAAGGACAATATATTATCTTCAAATAAATATTATACTTATTTTTCACAATATGGAGGGATATATAGTCTTCAAATCATACATTAAAATGTTCTTGATTTCTAAATAGCCCTAGATACATAGAACATTTCCCTTGTGCACTATAGGAGAAGGTTTATAGGAAGATTATATAATTTTTCAACATGAGTTTGTCATCCGGCATCAGGAAATCAGGAGAAGTAGCAATGAAGAAAATTCAACTGCAGTTCCAGCAGAAAATCAGTATAAATTCTTTTTATATAAAAGTGTTTTGCTTTCAAGACAAGAGTCTCTGTTTAGTAGTTAAATATTAAACATGTAACATTTATTGGAAAATTCTAATGCACAAATGAATGGGACCTAATCCAACCCTGCCCAGGGGCACAGTATAGCCAGACTCACTGCATTGAGACAAAAGTAAAGAATGTGTGAATGAAGACTGAAAACTGGGTTTCTAGTTCATACTTACATTTCAGTAATAAATTTTTGGAAAAGTAACATTTGTCACTATTTGATGTCACAGCCTCAAACTGCAGAAGAAGAAAAAGAAGAAGATAGAGAGGAAGTTCTGGATCCTTTTAAGCCTCTTGTCCCCAGACCCTGGGTTTCTCTTGGCAGCGAAAAGGAAGTTGAAGAAGAATCTGTTAAAGACAATGTTACAAAGGTCAGAATTAAGAGATGTTAGTCAATCAAATAAATATAAAACCCCCAAATATATTTTAAGTTCCTTAAAAACAAAAAGTCAGGAAGCTGGAAGTTGTGATCCTAGTTTTGCTTGAGGTCTTTCAAGAAAACCAACAAAGAGAGAGAAACAGAGAAATAGCTTCACTTTTAACAAAAACTGAAAGTGCTGTAGAAACTTTCTTTTTAGACTCTGTTCTCTTTTAGTCCTGCAACTAAGGCATGTGAGACTGCATTGAACATAACTACTTTTTAAGGTATAAGTTCAAAGGTCCTTATCCTCTTTGGTCATTGGCACCTCTGCTGCTTTTTGTTTAATTTACAGTGTGGTCAGATTACAAATTGAGTTACTGCTCTGTATCCTTGAAGCTCAGTGAACTCTGTTTCATTCCATGGATGGCATTTAAGTAGCATGCAACACTTTTAAGTGTTACTGACTACAAATATTACAAGCTGACTTTACAGAAGGACATATTTGATTAATTACACCTACAGATTATACTGAGAAAATTATATGTCCAAAAAGTAGATCTGCTTACAGCTTTCACCTAACTTGTGATGTGCGGGGCATCTGTAAGCATCTAACTGTCCATCAGTGATTTTTACTCAATACCTAAATCCCTGCTCAGGAGAGACTGGCTAAGTTTTGATAGTTTTCAGAAACTGGACATCTTGATTATACTTAAAAAGATGTCTGATTGTTCTAAAGCTAATTCACAGTCACCAAATTTAACACATTGACAGTCCAAGTGTTCTGTATTCTACATTGCTAGCAAGGTCCACTCGAAAAGTGCTGTGAATCCAAGACAAAGCAATACCTTTCTACTGCCTGAAATCAAGTGCCTACTTCTCTTTGTGGGTGGAAGTCAAGCCACATCCCTTCTTCCTAGTTCTCACTATAAGGAAATTCCTCACTCAAATTTTTGTGAATCTTCTTCAGAGTACTTTTCTCTCCCTAGGTAGTGCAAGGAAAGCTGAAATACCTCACCCAAATTGAGAGTTCCGCTAAGAGGGAAGGGCAGAGAAGTTAGGTCTTGGAAGCCTAATTTAGTATTACATAAGGCTTTCTACAAATTAATCCTTCAATTAAACATGAGACTTTGATATTGCATGAATTAGAAAATGTATTTCTCTTATTCTACTAGAAGTTATCCAAAAATGTTACAGCAACTTCTTGTTTTAGAAATACAAACCTGTGTTCTATTACATATGTAGGTTATTTCTAAGAGCACTTCAGAATTTCAAAATGCAGAAATATAAGTTAACTCAGCACAGAAATCATCAATAGAACTAATTTTATGATGATATGAATGCTGCCATTTTACAGAATGTTTTTACAAAAACATTCTCTTCTACTAACCATGGAAATACATCTTTTCCAGATTAAATTCAAGATTTCTCGAGTACGCAGGAAGTTTGGTGCTCCAATTGCATTTGCTGATAAGAACGCTTCACATGAAACAGACAGTTACGTTGAATGCACCTCTTATGAAGACAAAACTTTCAGTATTAAAATGCTTGAAAAAGATGTGGGGGTGCAAATAGTTCCAAAAGTAAGAGAAGCTAGTACTCAGACAAAATGGTAAGTATGAGAAAATATTTACAAGTTTATTTATTAAGCTATGCCCTGTTTCCTAACTAAAATTCTGGAGTTAGTTGCAAACTGATTAATTAATAGAACAAAATGGGATGCTCTGTTTGCATCTTCCTTCTTCCACTCTTTTCCAAAGAGTTTCTAGAAAAAAATAATACATTTAGTTTTTAATTTCACACACTACATGGGTTTCTGTCTCTGAAATGGTTTCTGTACTTACATTCAAATTTATTCCAACTGGTTAGGACCTATCCAAAAAATGCAGCCACGCAGTATTGTCCTAGGGAGTTCTCAGAGGAAGAGAAAGCAGAGAGTCTGTCATCTGAGAGGCTGAAAGAATTTCTTACATCAGTACACTTAAGGTAAAATTACTGCAGCAATACCCTTAAAGGCTACCTGAAATAATACAGAATACAAGCAAGTACTCTTGTCTGAGTGGATCATTGCTCTAGTCAAATACCAATTTTACTTTTTGTTTCTATGCACTTTTTTCCCTTGTTTATTATTGTAATACTAACATATTAATTTCATAGTTAATTAAAATTAATTAATTATTAAGTAATTAATAATAATAGTTAAACATTACATAAATTCTATGCCATATAAATATGAATTATTGTTTTAAATAGATATTAAACTGCTAAAGTTAATAGTGATACATCTTTTCAAATAAACTGCAAAGCTGATCTTTCAAACACTGCTCACTCAAGCAGAGGGTTATGCAGTGAGCAAAGGTGCAGTCCTACCCATGACTATGTCCTCAGTCATGGGACAAGTCCCACTTACAGTTTTTGCACAAGAATTGGGCTGTACTTGGTGCACACAGAACTAGAGTTAAATTCTTGGTACGATGTCTATTTCTATTTAAACATAAGAGGGTTTCCTTGCAGCGATGCATCACTGATGAATTAAGTTTTTAACTACTGTGGTCACAATTTTGTGTAAAACAAAAGCTGCCTCTTTACAGAAATTTTTGTGATTCTGTTACCGAGTAGGCACATCTGGATTATTGAAGCGTTAACTGTTCTTTCCACAAAACAGAGTGGAAATTGCATTGCAGCAAAATGAAATTATGAATGCTTTTTTTGATGACTGGAAGGCCCTAGCAGAAGACAAAAGCAGTTCTGATGGCAAGCCAGATGTTTACCTTAAAGCACACCAATCATTTACCAACCTGCAGTACCTCAAGGACAGAACCATTAGCTGCGTTTGCTGGCATCCCATGGCTTCTGGTAAAGCAGTTACAATGCTCATTTGAGTCTTCAATGACGGGTATTATATGAGAGCTAAAAAACATGCATCTTTCATAAAATTAATCAGCTTTCAAATTTAAAAACAAATCAAAACTAATTTAGTATACCTGTCAGAATTGCTGATTTGAGATGAAATGAAAAATGAGAGACAAATTCTTTGTAGAATTCAGGCAGGAGATAGGCCATGCAAAGTCCTTCACACTAATGTATGAGTGGAGATCATAGGAAAGAGAAATTTCTCCCTTATGAGGCTCACTCAAGCAGGGCTGCAACTGTGCCGAGTGCTTCCGATGGCTCTGCATACCACTGTCCTTCTCCCCAAGGCTGGCTCTTGTAGCACCCTTAACACTTGTGAGGAATGTTACAGCCACGATGGGACGTGGCTCTGATGAGTGCCAGGGAGCATCACAAGACATATTAAATGTCAACTCCTGCCCCCTGCTGTGGATTATTGTTCTACACAGCCAGACTAAAGCCCCACTTAAGTTCTATGTAAATGCCCCCGCTGCACTACTAGCCAACACTGAAGCCTGTGTAGAAAATTAACTGGGCTACAAAAGATTTGGTTTCAGGATGGGTGGCCAGGACTATATGCCTGTCACATCATTTCAGGTGCAGTATTACACTACTGAGGAGCAGCAGCAAAAAAAGCTGAATTTTATCTTGATACTTAGGTTCTATGACTCATTGTTAAATAACTTCATCTTAAGTAACAAAAATAGTTTCTTCAAAGCTGATCTGAAAGAAAAAAAAACATGGTTGGTTTGTTTTGGGGTTTTTATTTTGCTTTTTTTTGCACTATCTTCAGAAGGTATAAATATAAGTCACTCAGAATAATTAACAGTGTGTTGAAACTTGAATTGTGTCTTTTGAGAAAATTAATTTTTTTTCTCATTCAGGGATTATAGCAGTGTCAGCAAGAGAGCAGCTTTCTTATGAAGAGCAAATTAAACTTTCTAAAAAATCACGGCTGCACCGATCAGTAATACTTTTTTGGAGTTTTTCTGACCCTATCCACCCCCAGGTATTTAATCAAGACTTTTAAATATGCCAAGTGTTTAAATAACAAGAAAAACAAACGGTGTGACTGTATTTCTCAACTACCTTGTTTTTCTTCTTTGTAGTTAATATTGGAGTGTCTTGAAGACATTTACTGCTTCCAGTTCAGTCCAAGTGATCCAAATATCGTTGCTGGTGGTTGCACCAATGGACAGGTGTTAATTCACTGTTTAAAAATAAAATTGGATATTTCTGTATTTTCTTACAGGATGAAAATAAGGGTGAAGAGATGTACTCAACATCTATAGTAATATATAGGGACAGAAGACAGATGTCACAGACTCTTAGAAGCTCTCTTATCCTGGACTGAAGCTATGCCTGGTTATTCCATAGCTAAACCATTATTGTATGATGCTTCTTTGTAGTACTGATAAATAGGTCAAGTTGTAAAGACTTTTTTTTTTGAGACAAGTGTAGCCTTTCAATTGATTGCATCAGACTAAAGAGAAAATACTTTAAAGACTTTATAAATTCTAGCGCAAAGAGAGAATTTCTTATTTTTCCCTGAACCTCCATGATTTGGAAAAAAATTAGTATTAATATACAGGATGAAATAATTTGTATTATACTCATTTCTCGTTGTAGGTTGTACTGTGGGATATTTCTCAATATGGAGAGAAACTGCAAATTGAAAAACCTGTTGCTGATGAAGTCGTCGACTCAGACAGTGAGGCGACAGCAGTGGCAGAAGTGGCAACTAAGGTAAGTCCAGGGGTGATGGTTGGATTGTGCTTTATAGGGACCCGAGGAGATTCATCTGTGGGTCCTCAGGAAGCTGGCAGATGAAATTGCTAAGCCACTATCCATCATTTTTGAAAAATCATGGCTGTCAGGATGACTGGAAAAAGGGAAATATAACCACCATTTTAAAAAAGGGTAAAGCAGACCAGTGAGTCTCACCTTTACGTCAGGCAAGATCACAGAGCAGATTCTCCTGGAAAGTATGCTAAGGCACATGGAAAACAAAGAAATTATTGGTAACAGCCAACATGGCTTTACAAAGGGAAAATTATGCCTAACAAATTTGGTGATCTTCTATAATGGGGCTACAGCATTGGTGGACAGGGGCAGAGGAACTGACATCGTCTACTTGGACTTAATGCAAAGCATTTGACACTGACCCACATGACATCTTGTCTCTAAATTGAAGAGACATGAATTTGGTGGATGGACCATTTGGTGGATAAAGAACTGACGGGATGGCCACATGCAGAGTTGTGGTCAACAGCCTCTTGTCCACATGGAGATCAGTGAGGAGTGGTGTCCCTCAGGGGTCAGTACTGGGGCCAATCCTGTTCAACATCTTTCTCAGGGACATGGACAGTGGGATCGAGGGCACCCTCAACAAGTTTGCTGCTGATGATGCCAACTTGTGTGGAGCAGTCAATATGCTGGAGGGAAAGGGTGGGACATCCAGAGGGACCTTGACAGGTGGACTGATCCAAACCTCATGTAGTTCAACAAAGTGAAGTGCAAGGTCCTACACCTGGGTTGTGGCAACCCCAGACAAACCTACAGGATGGGCAGAGAAGTGACTGAGAGCAGCCCTGCAGAGAAGGATTTGCATGATGGTTGATTAAAAACATGAGCCGGCAGTGTGTGCTCACAGCCCAGAAAGCCAACAGGATCCTGGGCTGCATCAAAAGTTGTGTGGCCAGCAGGTTGAAGGAGGCGATTTTCCTCCTCTATTCTGCTCTTGGGAGACTCCACCCAGAGTACTGCATCCAGCTCTAGTGTGCCCAACATAAGAAGGACAAGGAGCTGTTGGAGCAAGTCCAAAGAAGGGCCATCAAGTTGATAAGAGGACTGAAGCACTGCCCTATAAAGACAGGCTGAGAAATTTGGGGCTGTTCAGCCTCGAGAAGAAAAAGCAACCTTCCAGTATCTGCAGGGGGCCTACAGGGAAGCTGGAGAGGGACTCTGTGATGGGACAAGGAGTAATGGGCACAAATTGAAAGAGGGGAAATTTAGGTTAGATATTAGGAAGAAATTTTTTACTGTAAGGGTAGTGAGACACTGGAACAGGTTGTCCAGGGACATTGCAAATGCCCCAACCCTGGCAGTGTTCAAAGCCAGGTTGGATAAGGCTTGAGCAAACTGGTCTAGTGGGAGGTGTCCCTGCCCATAGCAAGGGGTGCTGGCACTAGATGATCTATAAGGCCCATTCCAACCCTTTAACATCCTACGATTCTATGAAATTGAGATAGCAGATATTAATATGGTAAATGCTTCCATTGTAAATATATTGCAGTGAAGGAAAAATGGGTGAAGGTATCCTGATTCAAAAGAGAGGAGTAGATAATCTTTGCAGATAATCTTTTGAGAGACTAGAAAGGATAAGAAATCTGATGAGTTCATGAAATAAAACCATTATCACAATACAATTTCTATCTGATTAGTACAGCTTAATAGCTTTACTGCATTTTGTGTGACTTAGGCTTCTATTCTCTAATGGGCACCAACATACTCTCTGCTCTTGCCTTACGAAGCCTATCAAATACAGAGATATCGTTACTGAATGCAATACTGAAAAGTATGTTTATGGATAGAGAAAAGGTAGCTTGGAAGAGAACAAGATTTCAGTGGAAGAAGATAATAAAGAGGATAATCAGAAGAGAGACCTAAGAGCAGAGGAGAAACTAATAAGTGAATGTGTGCGTGCCCGTGGAGGTATGCTGGAATTGTTTTTGGAGCTTCATATCCAAAGGCCTGTTTTGATACTTTCTTTTTTTTTTTTCCCTAAAGGAAGGTATTAGACCCCTTGAAAGTTCTATAAACTGATCTGAAATACGTGAAGCAGCATTAACAGAATGCAAAGTAATGTTTTTCTGTTTGATAGATCTACTATTTGTAAATACACTGATAACTCTTTTTAAAACATTTCTAGCCATCACCTATGCAAGTCCAGCAGAGTAGCACAGAGCCACCTCTAGTGAAATACTGTGCAGTCTCTTCCAGAGAGTATAGTCACAAAAAACCAGTAACAGATATACAATGGCTGCCACATCATTCTGAGGTGAGTTTAAAAATCCACTTTTCTTCTTTTTATTATTTTCCTAATGTACTACCTCAGAAATCCTTGTGTAAACTCAGGAGAAAATATTAAAGCGTCAATTATTTGTAATAGCCTTCATTATTTCTCACTGCATTTAGTAAATATTAAAAATCTGATGTCTCTTGTCCTGTTATGCTTTACAACCGTGCTGGGTTCTCGGTCTGGCATAAATCTGCTCATACTGAAAAAAATTTCTGCAACTTTACTGAAAATTATAATTCAAAATTTTAATAAGCCTTCCACATGTAAAATGTGTTAAATTTCTACTACGAAGAATCTAGCCTGTCACCAAAAAATTCTGAGAAATAACTTCAATTACCTAAGTATCTGGGTACCCAAGAATGGTGGTGTTGTGGTTGCCTTCATTGTTCAAGGTGTATTCAAAATATTCATTTTCTGTGATGGTTTTAAAGCTCCATAGTACTTAGGGTCTTTGTAGTTAAAGGGTCCAACACTATTATAGGAGTACTGGATGCTCAATTACCATCAAAGTGTTGCAAATGGTTGCTAAATTAATTTGAAATGCAAATGTAGTCAAATGTAGTGATCAAATAATGACAGTGGAAAAACAGGCCAAGAGGAAGAAAACTGAAATCTTTAAAAGGTTTATGCAGATTTTTAAGACTTTTTAAGGATACTGCAGTCCTTAGCAACATTACCAGAAAAGTGAGGAAAAGGGTACACATATGTCATAAAAAGAAAGCTGATATGACTGTTCATTATTATTTTATGCTACAGTAATACCCATGGGATACTAATCAGTACCAGATGTAAAACATGTGGAAAGGGATTGGATAGCAGACATTGTTGTGGTTTTTGTTGTTTGGGTGGGGTTTTTTTAGTCAAGATTTAGACTGAGAAAGCTGTTTTCATGTTCGTCTGGGATAACAGATACAGGAAACCCTGCTTAATAAATAACACTGACTAAGGAATCACTTTATCAGTATTTAGCAACACGTACTGAGACATACTTTTTGTTACATAAACATGGAATATGTATCAGCCTTTGCACGGCAGAGCAGTTTTTATGGCACAGTTCCTAAAATCAGGAGTTTTATAATTATATATTAATAAAAAATTATTCAAAGTTATATCCAGAACCTAATTCAGCTCTGCCTGGTTGCAAGACTACCATTATCACTTCAGGTAGACAAATTCATGCATGAAAATTAGAGTAGGCCTAACTTACCATAAAAAATAAAAAAAGTGTACCTGAAATTTTGCTACATGGTTGATAATTACAGTTTTAGCCAAAATATATATTTTTCATACACTGGAAATTATATTTGATCAGAGTTCAGCCTATAATAACTTGGTACTCTTGACATCTTTCCTTTATTTTTCTGAGTAACTAAAATTAATTTGGAATAAGCCAATAACTACTTGGTAAATGATAAGTAGTATAAAACCTGCAGAACCCCACACATACAAACTAAACTATTAGTAATTAACATTTGAAAGGATCACTACCATCCCACAGCAAGGTCAAGCCAAGTGGGAAATAAATTTCTCAATGGTTAGCTCTTTGGTTAATCTGCATAAAAGAAGTTACAAAAATGGCAAACTAAGGAGGGCCTGACTTGCAGTGGTGCCAGTAAGTATTTATCCTGCTCAGTTAATTTAGAATTTTAGGTGTGTATCAGGCAAAGCTGATATCAGTTCACTTGAAGTACATTTGTAAAATAGCTTGACTTTATAACTGCAAATTAATAAGTCCTGATTTTCAAACTCTACCCAAGCAGAAACAGGAAATTAATTTCTAGTAACCTGTTTTATGTGTTGAAGTACTTACGTGGCAGAGTGTGGTTTTTGTCTCTCATCTTCTTCTTTCCCTGTAATAATTATTACTGTTATTTTCAGGACAACCAAAACAGAGGTGAAAATTGCCTGCAGCTTGTAACCTGCTCCCCTGATTGGTATGTACAACATATACTCTACAAGATGTCTTCCAGTTGCCTTTGGAAAGCTTTATGGAGCATAATCCATGATTTAACTAGCACACTTCTGGATTCCTATCAGCATATCCTGAGTAGCTGAAATTTTGTATGCAGAAGACAAGCACTTTGCATTCTTGTCCTTTACAGTAATGGCATTAAGAAAATGGCATTAAGAAAAACCTTGCACGTATACATTTATATTCTGTGTATACCAGAAGAGTGTTGATCATATATGCATTTGCCTGGAAAGCTACACCTCTACACTTACATTTGATTGTGTGACATGCACAAAAAACTGTTGAAAGATTCTAAGTCCACAAAAATACTGTAAACTATATTTAAACTTGGAGACTTAGCTGGCAAAATTATTCTGTATGAATCTCCTCTTTTGTGGACTGAATAGTCATGATCGTTATAACCAAATATTATCCTGTGTAAAGGCCTGGTAAGGAGACAGAATGCAAAAAATAGAAGTAAATGTTTAGCTTTCATGATGTCAAAAGGCTTGAGGCTTCAACACTGCATGGCTGGGCTCAATCATGTACTTGTTAGTTACATCAAAGGGAGAGTCAGAGAGAGCAAAATTTGATAATGATGCAAAGTTATTTTTCCTAATCAAATAACAGAGAAGACTTTGAAGAATTAAATTAGAAGAAAGATCGAAAATACTCTTGTTAGTAAGTTTACAGTGTAACGCAAGTAATACACATAGAAGAAATTATTTTAACTACTCACACACAAGGGTTTCAAATTGAAAGTACTTACCCAAAATAATAACAGGGAAGTCACTGTAATGTCATGCTTGAAGAGCATGGGTCACTGAGCAACTTCTGTTAGAAAAGGGAAGGAGATGTCAGCAATGAGAAAAGTTATCATTGGCTATATCAAATCTCTGAATGAATGTCCAGAATAGAGCGAAAGGAACAATCAGAAGGCTGAAAACTCCAATGAGATGACAGATACAAGTGAGTGGGACCATTTGCCTTGAATGTCAGCAAATAAATTCGTACACACAAAAATTGAGACTGATCTTTGATTTGGATTACTAGATTACCTGCTACACAGTTCTGTCTAGTTCTCTCAGCCTCCAGGAATTTCACCCAGGTAGTGCCAGTAAGTTCACCCAGTAACTGTCCATAAGCAAACTCTATTAACAATATTTAACTACTTTGGTATAATTAACTGATGAAATGGGGAAAAAAGAAATATATTTCATCATAACAAAAGAAGTAATTAAGTATCTAGCATTTGTCTGCTTCTCAAAGCCTCTATTGTTATGTAAGGTTTGAAGATGAAAGGTTAAAAAAACCTCCAAACTTTAAAATGTGTGGAAAATTGCATCTGACCTCAAAATAAAACCATAGAATAACATTATACAATTATTTTGCAGCTCAATATTATTTTGGGATATTCCAGCCATTGAACATCGTGAAAAAACTTCATCTGGTGTTCCAGATACTTCTAAGCATTTAGATCTCTCATGGAAACCTCTCATAAAGGTAGTGTACACAAATATAGAACATAGGGATCAAGTGAAAATGTAGATATGGCCAGAACTCCATAGAAATGTTGTATTTTCCTTCCCAACTCTAATTTTTTCAGCAAATTGATTTCCTTGTGATTTTCCTTCTGATTATGAAATTAAATACTTCAACATTCCTTTGAAATTTCAATAAAAAGCATTTTTAAAAGCTAATTCATGAGAAACAGCGTGACTGCTTCTAAAAAACTGCAGTAGGTGCAAAAGTAGGTGTGTAACTAGTGTAAGTTCCTGTCAGCCTTTTCAGCAGCTCTGCTGTCTGTCTCAGTGGGTCCCAAATAGTGAAACATGGTCAAACCATACTTACTAGCAAAACAACATTCAGTCTCATGAAAATGGTCAAAGCAGTTTGTGAAAAAAGTGAGGCTGAGAATAGCATTAAGTTAAAAAAAAATAATTATAATTTTAGGTGTGCTGATCTGTGCTGTTCAGAATAGCTGCAACTGGTACAGTTGTTGAACAAGCATGACCACTGGAGCTGGGCTGGGGTATTTTTGCTAGAAACAAAGCAAAATTCTTACAGGAGAAGGATAACACAAAGAGCATTTTATCCATGCTTGTATGTGAGGCAGCAAATACTGTTTGTGGAGTATTACAAACACACTGCAAACTGGAAAGACCTATTCCATTATAGTAGAAAAAATTTAGACTTACACCTCAAAGATCTGACAAAATATTTTAGCAAATGCACTTTTTTCTGAACAGATAAGTCTGGATGAAGGGGATACCAACACAGAGTATGGTCCCATCAGAATTATCTTAAGGGAACTGCATTATCGTTACAAAACCTCAGGTAATAGTTTTATTACACCTTATGTTTTTAATAAGCTTGTATTTCAGTATATACATAATAAAAGCTGAGCAACAAAATGTTGTATAGCTAAAAACATCTGGGGAAAAATGTTTCTTAAATATACTGGTGTTCAAAGTGCAACCTGCATGTACTGACTACACAGATAAGCACATGTATTGAATCCAAACCGAGCAGCTCTGCATACACAGTAACTCCACCTGCTTTCACTCAAAAGCCTGTGCAAGTCCCCCACACAACCTCTTTATCCCTCAAACAGCATGTCCTTTGCAGCCATTACAGAAAACTATTTTTAGACATAATCCATTCCCTGTTAGCTCCTGGTTGCAGCAGCTACGAGTGATGGATAAGGGCAGTTCCCATGGAGACACTGATGCTGTGTAAAACTGGGGAAGAACGGGGTGGTGCTATGCTAAGTAGTTGTCTGGGTATGGGAAGGACTGACTTCAGAGCAGCTGCAGCAAAGGGCAGATTCCACTAGGAAACAGTTAACCTATAGAACTGCTGTTTTACCTGTCAGTCTTTCTTCATCTCTCCTCTTGAAATTCCCATTAACCACGAACTACCTTTAGAAGACAAAGGATTTGCTTGGTCTGATAAATTCCTGTGTTTAACAAATAGATGTAACCATCTTGTTTTCCAGGGAAGGCAAAATCTCTGAGTGCAGTAAGAGCACCTGCCAAAGAGAGCCCATATACAGAGATGAGTAGTTCTTCAAGCAAAAATCTAGAAGTGTTAGAGAATATATCCGCCAACTTTTTTGTTGGAAATGAAGTAAGTGAAAATAATATATTACCAAGGAAAATGTTAATCTGAGGTATCTGAAAGACTGAACAATTAAATAACAGGGTTTTCACAAATGTATAGGCTTGCATGTTTTCTTCAGGTGTAACTGAAAAGATCTTTCTGAACATGCCACATTTTACTTCCATTTTAATGCTTTTAGTTACATGCTTTAAAAAAATAATAAACTTCCAATACGTGGTAGACTATGAACCCTTATTTCAAGGGCAGAATTAGAAGACATTTCCAAAATATGTTGAGCTTATTAGGAACCAAACAGTATTTCCTTATTCCAGAATGCATAAGATTAGTAGTATTTTTTTAGTGTTTTCCCGATTGTCAGGTGTAAACACTAATACTACAGTTTCCCCCCAACTTAATTTTACTTTAAGAAGTCCCAGATGTTCACAGCCCTTCACCTACCCTAGAAAATTAAAAAAATCTTTCCCAGTTTTGAGTTCATATGGAAATGAAAATTTGGCTTCTAGCTACCTTTTTGCTTCCAGTCACATTTTCCTCAAATACTGGAGCAAAGCATGAACTAGAAAAACCAGGCCCCTAATTCTGCAGGAAGGACTGCTTACATATATGATGGTAAGTAAAGCTGTTTTGGCAATACGTAACCGAAAAATGGTGATGCAAAATTTTTATGTGTTTTCAGTCATCGGCTGCGAATTCAGGTTTTAATTTACTCGGATCATATTTAATGATGGTTATAATTAAGTAAAGTTAGAAACAAGTAACTTTGATAAAAGCCACTAAGCTCTAACATTAGCATTTACTTGGTTTTTCTGGCATTACAGGATGGAGTAATTGTTTATTCTGACTGGAAAATGAAAATTGATACTAATTCGGCAAAACCAGTTAGTAAGTTCAAGTTTCTCAATACCTGTTTAAACTTTACTATATCACTAGCTTTAAAATATTTGCATCTATACTCTGTCTTTTTAAGGTTCTTGCTCATCAGCTCTAATAGTCTGTCTCACTGATGACAATCGGATTTAGCAGGACACCCTCAAAAGTGCAAGCAGTTTAGCTGGCATGACAGAATAGCACAACCCTCTCTAGTCTCACACAGTGCATCACTATGCACCTATTGTCACAAATCATGGAAATAATTAGATTTGCAGTAATTCCAATTCCTGTACCTTATGAGTAATAGTATCTTCAAAGCCTATGCTGGGTCCTGCACTCTTGTTTCTTGATCACTAAGGCACAAGTTACAAGCAACTGCCTTTTTCATCCATTAGGTCAGCAGCAGACTCAGAAATACAGCCTTCACACTGAAACTATCAACACTCTTCAGAGATCTCCATTTTTTGAAGACACCTTCCTAAGCATTGGGGGCCAGAATTTTGCCATTTGGAAAGAAGGGGTTACAGTAAGTTACTTTAACACAGCTGTAACATAATTCATAGATATACAAGACAGAACTATAACAGACTCTGAGTCTGTATTTTCAGAAATGTTTGTAAGTCACAAAGCTTCATAGTTTAGAAACGAATCAGGTATAAAAGAAGCTTCTATAAAAAAGACCTTCAATTCTAACCTTGTAAAAACTGTAGCTTCTCAACTATTTATTTCTGCTGCTAGGGAAACCAAAGAATAAAGGAAACGTGTACTTAACAAGTCTGAAGAAGTTGTATTTTAGGACGAAATTTTTTCATCATGTGAAGACAAAAAACCATGGTTTTTTTTTACAGTTCCTCTTATGTAGGAGTCCAGGTTAACTGCACCTAACAAAATCTCCAGACCACAGGTTTTAACAGCAGATAGACAGATTACCTTAATAGACTGGAAGTGACATAGCAGGTTTTTTACTTCCCCATAATTCTGTTTATCTGCAAAAGGTGATACAAATTTTGTCGTTGACAAAAGTTTTGTAATAAGATCATTTAAATTGTGAGCATACTCCAATGACAGGAGATCTGAAGGGGTGAATTGATACCACTGTTTGATTGTTGGATCTATCTTTGTTTTCACAAAAAATTAAGAATGGACCAATCCTTCAGTCAAGCTGCTCTGCAGGAAGATACACTGCAGGACAATGGTCCTTAGCAAGACCAGGAGTTTTCTTCATTGGCAGAGATGATGGAAATCTAGATATTTGGGACTTACTGAAGAAAACTCATGAGCCATCTCATTTCCAGAACATCTCCAAATCAGTCATCACTTTCATCAGCCCCTGGACTGCCTCACGTATGTTGATGGTGATTGCACTTTATTGTGCTACCCTGTTTGCAAACTGGCCCGTGACTCCAAAGCACATAAATCTTATTACAAACTCTCTTATATAAGTACACACTTCCACTAATTTAACACTGTACATACAAAACTGCATACATCAGTTCTAAGTGTACTATCACAGCATAAAAGCAACTGAAAACATTTAACTAAGAAAGAAAAAGTCTGATAAAAAAAAAAAACTTTAAAGGGAATTTCATTTGTTAATAAAATAAGAGAGAAATAAGGCTGCCTTTTTTGCTGCAGTGAACAATAAGCCAAAATGACCAGAACAAAAATGAACCCTCTGTAGATTGTATTTGGGTGGAGGTTCATGTTGCTGTTGAAATTTGGATTGTTTATATGTTTTTTGTCAAATATCTTTCAGCGGAGCAGCATTTTTTAGCTGTTTCTGACAATCTTGGAGTACTGCATGTTTTGGAAATCTGTCAAACACTAAGTCATCCTTCGAGTAATGAGGTTGGTAAGAATTTTTATTAATCTCTGACACTTTATCCTGAAAACTCCCAACAGAGAAACAAGCCTGCCTGGAAAAAGTTGCCTTCAAATGATGGCAATCAATTTGAGATCAGAATGGCCATATTCTCCAAAGATCACCTGTAGCAAAGCTGGCTTTGCACAGAGCCCACATAGGAGTCAACTAAAGGAAACCTCAGTGACATTTGGTAGAATTCCACTGCTCCAACCTCGCTACATGAAAACTTCAGCATTTTTTGCCACATCCATAAAATGACACCTGGTTTCATGCATTAAAACAATGCTATAGAGTTCATAGTAATGTAAATATACTGAATTCCTTTTTCTTTACACCTTCTTGTCCAAATTTGCGTCCACTTTTTCCCTTTAAATTTAGTACTTCAATTTACATGTCTTCATATCTGGTTCTAGCTTAGTGAAAGCACATTTTGCAAACTGTTCCTAGCATTCCCACTCATTCACGTGCTTTTGAAATAAGCACTATCTGTACCATGTCTGAAGTTGTTCACATCTTTATATTGTTTTGCTGCAAATTATTGAGATAAATAGAGATATTTATATTCCCAATATAGATAAACTAATAATACTGTTCAGATCATCAGCCATAGATCTGTGTCTTTGGGCATGTAATGACTCTTGTTTGTCATTGTGTTAACAGCATGCCAATGTACTTGATTTCTTTGAAAGAGAAGTCAAATACCTGAAGTACTGTGAACAAGAGTTTCAAGAGTATCAAAAGTTTCAAGCCAAAACAGAACTGAAATGGAGCTGGAGGCACAGAGAGAGAAAACAGTATGTTGTATTTAGAATTAAGAAAATTTTCTTTGGGTCTTTAAAACGCATCTGTTTTGCTAGACAGGATTTCCCCTAATATTTTCAAAAAATCAGTATGGATGTAATTAGAATAGCTTAGCAGCTCTTTATTTCATATTTACAGTTCTTAAGAATGGAAAAAATGGTCCTAGTTCATGTAAGTGCAGTTCTTGGTCAAGCAAAACCCCTGCAAGAGCATTAAAGCCTATGGACATTTAACAACTATAAATTTGCTTTTCATTTTACATCAGTTACTCATTCAGAAAGTTACATTTTTGCCAACTTCCCTATAAACATTGCTCCTTCAAGCAGGGATGACTCCAACCTCCTGTTCTTTACTCACATAAGGATTTTGCCTATACATTCTTTGGTAAATGGTGTAACAATACTAACTTAACTAAATTTCTTTGGTTGATTGCTGTAGCCCCAGGTGATGCCTGTTTTCATTAATTTGTGACAGCACTGACACAACCCACTGGAAAGCAATGGGGTTGCATACAGGTTTCAAAGCTTAACGGTGTGGTGTGTGTTTTTCCTTCAGAGTATGACTACTCTATAGAAAACAAGAGATGGAGGAGCAAGAAAACTGTGTTTCTGGACCTGGAGAAGCAGATAATATTGGATTTAGAGACAAGAAACACTTCCCTCACTGGATACTTAGAGCCCATTATCACCTTTAGAACCAGTGAGCTTTTTATTTGAAGACCTCTATTTCAGCAGAACCTGTTTAGCTTTGGAAATAAAGAATCTTGCAGTTGGAGATTGTTGTTTCTTAACTTCATCTGTTTGTTTACTCAGTGTGGTTAAAGTACCATTGTTTTGGGCACACTTCCCCCACTATTTTTCATTAATACAGTTATAATGAATATTCTGTTTAAATAATAGTTTCAAAGTTCTGTCTGTCAGGACTCTCAGAGGTCTTTCCCAACCTAGTCACTTCTGTGAATCTGAACCACTTTTACTTGCTGTCATCAGAATTACAAAAGAATTGTTACTTAATCCTGGCAAATGCTTACACACAGGAAACCAAATCCATTAAAATATATTCTTCCCTCAAAGAAATCAGTATTATTTAGAACAAACAGCTTTTACCAAGCACACTGTGGCTGTGCATTTCTGTCAAAAGACAGTTATTCCTCAGAGAGATCAAATGGTGCTATACAGAAGTTTTAATATTTACTGGTGTTAATGAGTAACAGCTTATGAATATTAACGCTCATCCTCCATCCACAGAGACAAGTCTGGTAAGCAGTTCTGCTGGTGGCTACTCGGTTTCAATTGCCAGGTCAGACACCATGTAACTGAGCAGAGCCTGTCAAGCAGAAATTAAATCTATCAGAGCAGGACAGATTAAACTCTATATGGGTGAGTTCACTCTTTCCATGACTCACCAAACTGTTTGAGGGTCACAGACTCCTGTCAAACAAATGTCCATGTGGTCACAGCAGACACTAAAGCACAAAAGACAACTGACACACAGGGGATTTGCAGAGAGGATCTTCAGCTGACAAGAAATAGCCAGCCCCAGTGCTCTGCTTCGTCAGAGTAAAGCACAGCCAAATACACAACAGGATCAGTGTGAGGCTCCTGTGTCCCAAAATAAACACTGCAAATTGGTTTTCAGTAGTGGTAAAAATATGCCCCTTCAATTTTTTACAGCCAGGATCTCCCTGTCATGCACTTTTACCACTTTGATTGAACTTCGGTCAGATTTAAGAGAGATTTGGTAGCACTAGATAGGACCCTGTTTGAAAAATGGTCTCTTTTGTTTGTTAATTTGAGGTTTAAATATTATAGCGATATTCCTTGCCCTTCATATTGAACTACCTCTAAATAAAAACCAGGGAAAACTCAACAAGCATGTCCCTACCACCTGCAGCACAGTGTTTGCAGTCAGAGTGCAAACAGGAAGAGAACATTGCTGCTCTGCTAAATCAATATTTAACCAACAGCCTGCTCTATACAGATATGCAAATATCACACAACTGACTAATTAAAAAGCTCAGCTCTCTGTTATCAGATTTGGACTTGATTAGTACACCACCTCAGATCATCTTCCACAGATTTTTTTGATTAACAGGGCTGCAAACTACATATACATTTAAGGCAACCTTATGGTCATGGCTTATCTGGAAAGTCAAGACATTTCCCCTCCACTGCAGCTCCGCCACTACTCCCCAGAAATGGCAGCAGCCTCAATGGGAGCCTTGTTCCCCTCCACAGAGGCACTCTCGAGAGTTTTGATTAAGAAAATATTTCGGAAGACAGAGGGATTTCAGCTGGGTTTTCCTAACAGTGAGGCCAAGGAGGCAAGGGGTCAGGGCTCTGCTTAGCAGCTCCTCTCCCTCCCTATAGCAAAGTAGTTCGGGTAACTGCAGGAATCTCCCAATGGAAAGGGAGCAATCTTCCTGACAGTCATTTTCCTCCTCATCTCTGTTCCTACACAACACTAGAGATCTGAGATTACACATCCCATCATGACCTTTATCCTCTCTAACACAATTCTAGACATTCAAATACCTGTAGGGTCAGCTTTGCATCATCTCATGTCCTACTGTTCCAATTTTGCTCAGAAAACTTTGGTGTTAAGGCTTTCCTGCATGGTTCTAAAAAAGTCAAATGGTAAATTAAAAAAGAAAAAACAGAAAGTTTATTATATAGGATGACATTTTAAAACAAATGTATCATAGTTACATGAAAGTGTAATATCAGTCCTCCCTCCACCCCAAATAACCATCTTTCAGCTGTTGCTAGCTCCAGAATGTGAGACATGGCTTCTTATATCAAAATACACTTTTACTGTTAAGAAAACCCTATACACCTTGGGCTGAGGAAGAAGGTAAAGGGGTTAAGATCTGACAGTAGAAATACCAGATGTGTCTCTGGCTTATCAGATTTACAGATTTTTTCCGTAAAAATCCTGAATATCTGTTGGGGATGTCTCCCTCTATTTTTAGAACATACCTGAATAGCTGCAGGTATGTTTCTTGTCTGGTGCATTAACAAACACACAAGTACGTTACACATTTGGGAAGATGTAAAATCCTGAGGTTTCTGAGGATGTAGGTCCCCAGTGGCTTAAGCCAGCCCGAGGTCATGCTGCCACCCCCACTACACCACACCCCACACCATCCCTACCCATCCCTTGCATGCTCCTGTAGTAAGCCACTTTGGGAAGCTGAAAAACTGGGAGAAGTGATTCAGTGTCAGATGGGTCAGTGACACAGCCTCAGCAGTGTTTGGAAAATCCTATTTAAGCAAACAGGAAAGGATTAAAACTCTATGAATGGGCCTAGTCCATTCTTGAATCCACCTAAGTGCATCACATCTTAACACTTGGCAGCAAAGAATTGCACAGACCTACCTTTGCAATTCTGCTTTTCCCTACAATTCTTGGTTATGCACTGACCTATGCTTTGGTACAACCATTTATATGTGATTTGGGTGCAAGTCTTGGAACTGTTTCTGCAAGAGCACCCACATCCATTTCCTTTACCTGGGAAGCAGAGGTCACACCTGAAGGAAGTCCATGAACTTCAAGATAATTTGCTCTCTGAATTCCACCAAGGACATTTGCTCTCTGAATTCCACCACAGGCTCTGCCCTCTGTTTATAACCCTTCTACCCGCCGGTGAACAGGAGCTGCTCCTGATGTCAAACACAGTTATACCAAGCAGACAACACTGAGGTCAGTACAGCAGGGGAGGCTCCTGGCTGTGCCCACGGGGCTCGAGAGGAGCTCTGCCCTGCAAACCACACACAGCCCAAGGCTGATCTTTTGTATAAAAAAAATTCATTACTGCTCTGATTAAAACAGGTTGTTTTAATCTCCATGTTTCTAGATTAGGGTAATTCCCATTGTAATCCTGTTCCTTACAAATTGGTAACAATCATAAAAAGAATGTACCTTGACTGGATTATATAAATAATATGAAATATAATAGTATCAATAAGAATACATATAAGGGATAACATATAACAAAAATACCAGTGGGGAAATGTCTCATTGAAAGAGGATTTCTAAGACATAAAACGTGTTCTACAAGTTGCTGTCACTGAATTAACAGCAGATGTTTCATTTAAATAATACCAATATGTTACTGTATTTCAAGTGCCTGATTAGATTAACATTATTACAATTTATCAAGTCATTCATTTCCGCTGCTGCAATGTTAAAATATTCAAGTTGACAGAGCATTGCACTGCTGCTCTGAGTTACAGACTCCTCCTGGAGAAAAATCTTACACTTATTCAAGAAGTGACTACTTACACATTTGGATTATTACAGACAATGAAAGCTTCATATATCACTCATCAAAAAACTTTAAATGCAAACATCTTTCAAGTAGTGTTAATTGAGTAGTGGATTGCTGTTTGTTTTTTTTTTTTTAATTATCTAACTCAAATGTTGGGTCAATCTAGAAATGACAATACAACAAAACACCTCCTGAAAAGCTAAATGTCTTTATGGAATTAATTCACATGTGCAGCCAGTGCAGAGGGATGGCATCAGCTTAGACAGGTTTAAATAATCACTAACTAGGCATAGACAAATTTTGTTCTTAATTCAATTTTTATTTAGAATTTAAATTTATAGTTTAAAAAGTATGCACATTCTGTAGGTATAAAAGTTTAAAAAAATACATTGATTTATTGATAAATGCCTCAGGTTAAATTTACATTTTCATACATTATCATTATATTGCAATAATTGTTTTGCATCTTTTAACACTTATAAAATAAATTAATGAGATTGAATAAACCATTGGAACCATGCTAAAATAATTCCTTAGAAAAGAGGGGTGAAGTTTGCCCTAACAATTCTTAATTCCTTGCTACTGTAAATAAATAACTCTTCAATTAAGCAGTATAAAGAAGTACAGGTTAGCAGAAAAGCACTTACCCACAGGGTGAATGGAAAGCCATGGCAGGATGCCAAAAATTGTACCGAAAAGATGTAGAATTAATTTCTACCCTGCCAGCTGACAGCAGCTTGGTGTTTGACCTCTCAAAACACCAAAACCTTCTCACCCCCACTGGCCCAAATCTCCCCTTCCTCGGGGGTGTGTATGTGACCTGTAGAGGACAAGGAATGGCTCCGAATCTCCTTCTGGTTACAGGGACTATCAAAACATCTGTATGCAATTTGGTAATTATTTGATAACTATTTTAATACATAAGAATGCGTCTCCTTAACATGAAATGTTTAATTGCTCACCATAAATGACTAAAGATAAAGACAAGTTGAGCAGACGGTGACAGCTGAATCTAATAAGGTCCCAGCGAACTGCAATCCACTCCAACTGCCCAGGAGTGACATCTCTCGACTCATTCCACCTCATGTGACAACTCCTGTTTCCATTTTTGGGAGACTAATTAAAAAAAAAAAAAACAACGAACCAAAAACCCAACAACAGCCAAAAAAAAAAACTCAGACAAAAAAAAGTAACCGCCTCTGTGCAGAACTTGAGTCTTGCATCTCCAGAGCCACAGCCCTTTACAGAGGGCTCTAAGACATCCAACTACCAGCAGCCAGACAAGGCTACCACAACAAAAATACATGAAACTCTGGAGAAAAAAAGAAACATACTGAAATATCAATAATAAAGTAACAGGTTACAAGGACAAACCAAAAGTATTTCTTGAGAAGTAAGTACCTTCCAGACTCTTTTATATGTGAAAAAAACCATTGAGGAAGAAACAAACAATGAACAAAAAAAAAAAAAACAGAGAAAGGG